TTGGCCGCAGGCTCTGGAGGTAGAGTCCCTTCCAGGACGTACGACTTCTTGTCGTGCTTGAGAACAATTCTCAAGTTATGATACCAGTCCAAGAAGTTCATCCCGGTCAACTTATCCTTCTCAAGGATAGATCGCATAGTCAAACTCGGTACACTACCGGTTGACGCAATGTCCTACAGAAAAAGACAAAACACAACGAACAAAACAAAATGCAGATTCTATCAATGATCCACTATCAGCTATTCCATCACCAATCAATGACAACATAGATGCATATACGAGCTATACTCCCATAAAGAAAAATAACCCTATAATAATTTTCTATATGAGACTAAGATCCATATTTCACGTAAGAATGAGTTGTTACACTCAGCCTTATGCTATTTACGTAGACATCTAATGTCAATCACATCCAATGTGACTCTTATATCTTTTATGAGACTATGATATCAAATATCATTGCATACTCGTCTCATCTGTACCGTTAAGTGTCAAGTCAAACTAGACTACTTAACCTAAGCCAAACCATATTCAAGCTGTAGGAACCACGATTTCCCACCTTGTCTCACAAAGATAATCCGACATGCTCAGCTTTGGCATGACCCGTGATACAGATGATCGATGCCTTGACAAGTGCTCTAGTAATGGAAGGTACTAGCTTAGCATTATATGAAAAGCGATTTTTAAACCACATTTAGATCAAGCATTTACTTTCAAGCTATGAGAACCACCATTTCTCCATCTTGCCTCACCAAGATAGTACGAACACCCAGCTTTGGCATGGCCCATGACACGTACGATCGAGGCCTTGACAAGTGCTTTACTCGTAGAGCTCCTAGATCTATCCGGTTTAGGTGCAACGATTGTACCATTCGAATCAAGGATCAACTATTGTTCCTTGATCAGATGTATTACATAATCCGAATAGACCATCCATTCGGTTACGTAATTCCAATCCCGAAACTTCCACTCAATCAAGCAAATCTAATATCTTGATCAAGTTACATGTATTCATTCACTATGGACCATCCATAAGATTGAATCATGTTATTCTGAATCACAGTTGATCGGATTAAGCAACTATTGCTCAAATCAGATCGCGAAACGAAGAATCGAAAATTTCGGTTTCACTCGGGGTGTGGATTGGTCGGTCCACAGTCTGGACCGGTCGGTCCACGCGAATCTCGGTCTGATTGGTCTGGTTTGGTAAGACCGTTCGGTCTGACCTTCCAGACTGTTTGGTCTCGAACCATGACATAGACCGATCGGTCCACACATGCAGACCAGTCGGTCTAGACCGGAAGCGACGAATCCCTGGACTGATCAGTCCAGAGGACCAGACCGATCGGTCCAGGCGAAACGTGATCAGATTACATTTTTCATCGTTTTGGCCCCGATTCAGACCCGAATTCGACCCGGTTTTCGCCAGTGAACTCATAACACGAACCTCTTCCAATGCAACAGACAATACAAAATCTACTCTAGATTCATAATCAATTCATGCATAGCATCAAAAGCAAACATGGATTCAAACGGTTCAAATCCTATAATGTACGTGATCGGGTTCTACGACATCATACAAAGCAACGAGGCTCTGATACCACTGAAGGGAATCCTGGGATCTCTACAGCGAATCTAATTCCTATGAGATCGATTCTAGAGTTTGCGCAGCGGGTATAAAACAAAACTTTTCTATAAACCCTAAAACCATGCATGTATGATTTCGTAGAAACGTTAGAACACTTACCTCAATCGATCCAGTGCCTGTTTCAATTAGCGTGTTCGTCATATCACAAAGGCAGTAAGATTACCTCGTCTTCTACACGTATCCACATGACGAAAGGATTCCAACGGCTCGAAACTTGTCTGCTAGGACAAGAAAACTCGTTCTCCAATGTGCCAGGGTTTCAGGGATCTTTCTCGGGGTTTTCGGATCTCCAAAACCTCTTAAAAGGTCTGAGAGTTCGTCCTCTTCAAATTAGGAGGCGTGCCTCATGTGTATCTCACCTTAAAACCCTAATTAGAGTGAGATAAGGAATTCCCGATGCCTGGACCGATCGGTCCAGCCTCTGAACCGATCGGTCTGGCACTTTTCCGGACCGAACAACATTTGTTCATAACCTCTGGACCGATCGGTCCATGCACCTGGACCGATCTGTCTGGGCAAGCCTGGACTGATCGGTCCAGACTTCTGGACCGGTCGGTCTGGTCTCCATGCCACCAGGAATTTCTCGTCTTTTCTCGCGTATTGTCCTTTCCTGTGTGTGACCCTGTATGCTCATTCGAGATAGCAGTATAACCCGAAATCTCCATTTCGGATATACAAGTTATAGGCGGTCTCTAGCAAAACACTATGACTACCTAGCTCGAATAGAGTTTGCTCGTGATCTTAGAACGTCAGTGATGATTCCGGTTGATGATCCTTTTGTATCATGATATCATATGTCGAACATAAGGCATGGATAAGCCACCTTATCTGATTCGACTGTTTTCTCGTTCACAAAGTTCGACTGTATGAAATAGACGATGCTCGTCTATAGTGTGGCTACACATTTCTACAATCTCGCTCACACGAGGGGTTCAGCGATATCCCTCTCTTTTACGAGAGGTACAAATCCCATCTTGACTATCTACAATCCAGTACATGATTCCTATCGTATCTGACACACGCCTTTATAGTCCTCCTGTTACGCAGGACGTTTGACGTATTCAAAGTATGCAACTCCTCATGTTGGATTCCAGTAGACATCTCAGGTCATAGGATCCAATCATGGAACCGTCATATGAGATTCAAGTCATGACGTTAGTCCATGTGACAATCTCATGCGGGTCATTCTAGTATTCCATTCTCTAACGAATACCTATGATTGTGATTGTATCCAATACCCATGATCATCTATCACACATCATACTAGTCTTAGTACATCATTGTTCCCACAATGATATATGACTAGGTAGTTTAGCATTGTTCATAACAATACATGGATTTCATAACATATTAAAGTATGCATAACATGTAATGAATCAAACACTCATCCATATAACCATAGTAAGTGTCAATACATCAAATGTATCAAAATAAAGCTCATATAGCAGTACATCATAGAGCATTAAACCAACATGCTTTCCCTGATTCCATGAGAATAAAACTCCGGGTTACACTCGAGTTCACTCTCTAAGCAATTAGCTTAGGTTACGCAACGTTTCAGATCGTGAGCAGGAGTAGCCGCGGATCGAACATCGGAGACGTAGGCAGCTCATAACTACCGATCATGTATAATTACGTAGTTATATTACAATTATATTTTTTGGGGAACGGTTTATGTTATATCAGTGGGACTTTTAAGGTTTATAATAATGTTATTACTATCACCCGACTATGTATTATAACTGGAAATAATATGTATCATATATGTATGTATGAATGTTTTTCTTCAGCTAACTCTGAGAAATAAAAGTTTTAAATTTCCGCAGATTTTTGGAATTGTATTTTTGTTTCGATTGTCCATATGATACAACCAGTATTGCGGGATACGAGTTATACAAGTATCACAATACCGACGCACACTTAAATGTTTCTAGTGGTATGTGAGCTTAACATGTGAGAGGAGTGTTTTTTGGATTAAAGTGATGTTGGATTTTGTATTATTCTCTATCCAATGGAAAAACTTATTTTATATAAATAATAATTCGTAAATATTTGAATCCTAAAAATTAATAGAAACTTTCTAATTTTTAATAAATAAGATAATCTCATAAAAAAAAGTTTATTTGTGAAAAACTAATTCCTAAGACAATTTTATTGAAAGTCTAATTCTTAAACTTTTAATTTCACAAAGACATTATATATAACAAAACTAATTCCTAAACTTTTTTCATAAAATACATGAACTTTATTAGTTTAAGAAAAAAACTACTATAAATAGAAACTTTCAAATTAATACGCATAATTTAAAAATTTTCAAAAAACTATATAAGCTTTTTCTATTCTTAATTAAAATTATGAATTTTATATAGACTATCAAAATAATACAAGAAAATTTATAAAAACTAAAAAAAAAACAATACGTCAAATAAATTTATGTAGTTTTTTCACATCTTATAAAAACTTAATGACCGTGCAATTATTTCTATATTAAAGTTATGATTTGGATTTATTAAGATCCTTGGGATACGAAAACAAATATTGCAGAAGGTTGTCAGTTTCTTTAGAAAGAAAAAAATATTATATTTCCTTTTATTGTTTATGGGTTTTTTTTTTTTGAAAAAAAGAGGAAAGTGGCCCATGTTTTAAAACAAGCATCATTTTTATGGGCTTTAAAATTGGGGTGGGGCCCATATTTTTATATAAGTATTTGGGCTCCGATTCTATTTTGTTTTTGTGCTTGGATGTGTTTTCTTTTTTAAAAAATGGTATTTGATAAGTAAGGGAAGAATGACGTGATGGTTTATAAGGTCTGATATTATTGACAGGATTGATTTGACATAGAAACTCACCAAAGTGAGATTTTATGAAAATAAGTTAATCCATGTTTTTGTTTAATAATATTCTGACGATATGGATGTAAAAAATTCATGCGGATAATTATCAACCCAAAGGTAGATAATTATTTGTCAGAATTTATACATTGGTGTGAAAATAAAATATGATAAAATCATTAGGATATTCATAAGTCGGCTCAAAATAAGGCTTATTATCTGAATGTTTGATGATCATATTTATTTAAGCACGTCGAGATATTATTAACAAGTTAATGATTTTATCCAAAGATAAGTTGTCAATGTTGTACTAAATATCTCATGTATTTATATATATTGGGGCTACCATTATATATTCTTCAAATGTCTTATCGAATAAATATTGTTTGTTAATTTCTTCTGATTTTTTGGACAGCTTTTTCGTCAGCCACATCCATCACAGTTTCGGTGAACTCTATCCCAATGCTGACAGGACAAATTTTAAGACTTGGAAAGAGAACATTTTAATTGTTCTCGGTTGCATGGATCTTGACCTTGCACTTCGGGTGAATGAACCTGCCGCTCTAACGGATGCAAGTTCTGATGATGATAAAAAGAACTTTGAGCGGTGGGATCGTTCAAATCGCATGTGTCTCATGATCATGAAGCGTGCAATTTCAGAAATTTTCAAGGGCTCCATAGCTAAAGGGGCAAATGCCAAGACATTTCTTGATGCCATAGAGGAGCGTTTTGCCAAGAATGAGAAGGCTGAAACAAGTACTCTCTTGGCAAAACTTATCTCCATGAGATACAGAGGCAGTGGATATGTCTGTGAGTACATTATGGAGATATCTGATCTCGCTTCAAAACTAAAGGCACATAAGTTAGAGTTGTCTGATGACTTGTTCGTGGACTTGGTTTTAATATCCCTTCCCACACAATACAGTCAATTCAAGGTCAGTTACAACTGCCAAAATGATAAATGGACTCTTAATGAGCTCATTTCTCATTATGTGCAAGAAGAGGATAGATTGAAGAATGAAAAGACTCAAAGTGCTCATTTCATCTTTGCCTCTAAGGATAATGGCAAGAAAAGACCTAAAGCAAAAGAAGCTGCTAGTTCACCTCAAAAGAAGTTACAGAAGCAACAACAAGATAAGGCTTCTACTTGCTTTTGTGTAAGAAGAGTGGACATATGAAGAAAGATTGTATTGGGTATCACGCATGGCGTGCAAAGAAAGGTACATTTCTCGCTTTTTTTTTGTTCTGAAGTTAATTTAACTTCGGTACCTAGTTTCACTTGGTGGATAGATTCTGGTGCAACTACCCACATAAGTGTATCAATGCAGGGATGCCTAAACTGCCGGAAGCCAAATGATGCTGAAAGATTCATCTATGTGGGCAATGGCAATTCGGTTCAAGTGGAGGAAATTTGCACTTTTAGATTATTATTGAGTTCTGGATATTATTTGGATTTGGATGAGACTTTTGTTATACCGTCATTTAGACGGAATTTGGTTTCTGTTTCTGCATTGGACAAATTTGGTTATTCTTGTTCATTTGGAAATGGATTATTTCGTCTTTTCCGTGATTAAGATATGATTGGTTCTGGTACTCTTTCTAGTCCCGATAATCTATATGTGCTTAACACAATTACCTTCGATAATGAAACCTTGCAAGTAGAAACTCGTGGTACCAAACGTAAATTAACTAAAGAGAATTCCGCAAGTTTATGGTACAAACGCTTAGATCACATATCCAAAAAAAGGATAGAACGACTAGTGTCAGATGGAATTCTTAATATTCCCGATATAACACAATTTGAAGTGTGTGTTGAATGTATTAAGGGAAAACAGACAAACACTAGAAGATTGGATGCATATCAGAGTTTAGATGTCTTAGAACTAATTCATACGGATATTTCTGGGCCTTTCCGGTCCAGGCGAAACGTGATCAGATTACATTTTTCATCGTTTTGGCCCCGATTCAGACCCGAATATGGTTATCTATATCTATTAAGTGAGAAGTCGCAAGCTCTGGATGTACTCAAAACCTATAAAGCCGAAGTTGAAAACCAACTAGGTAAAATGATTAAGGATGTAAGATCCGATCGTGGTGGTGAATACTATGCTCATTATGATGGATCAGGTGAACAATGCCCATGACCTTTTGCTAAATTCCTAGAGGAATGTGGTATCGTCCCACAATACACCATGATTGGATGTCCACGCATGAATGGTGTATCTAAAAGACGAAATAGGACTCTTAAGGATATGGTAAGGAGTATAATCAGTCATTCCATCTTACTAGAGTCTCTTTGGGGAGAAGCATTGAAAAACTGCAGCTTATATACTCAATAGAGTACCGACAAAAGCAGTATCGAAAACTCCTTATGAGCTTTGGACAGGAAAAAACCTATTCTAAAGCATTTACACATTTGGGGGTGTCCAGCTGAGGCAAGACCATATAGGCCACATGAAAAGAAATTGGATTCTAGGACGATTAGCTGTTATTTTGTTGGTTATGCTGAGAGGTCAAGGGGTTTTAAGTTTTATGATCCCGCTAACCGATCTATCTTTGAGACGGGAAATGCCCGATTCTTTGAGGATGTTGAGTTTGGTGGAGGAGATAAGGTTAAAGAAGTTATCTTTGAAGATGAATTTGTTACTCTTCCTTCGGTTGTTGATTCTGATTTGGTTAATAAGGAACAACAAGATAACTTTGAACTCCCTTTTGTATCGCAAACTCAAGAGGTTATTTCAGAAAAATAACCTCAATAACCTCAAGAACAATTGCCATTAAAAAGATCCACAAGAGAAAGGAGAAGTGCAATTCCAAACAATTATGTTGTGTTTCTTCAAGAGCATGAAGAAATCGTTGGAATGTTAGAAGATGATCCGATAAACCTTCCACAAGCTATGCAAAACTCTAACTCTCAAAAAAGGATAGATGCAATGAACGAAGAGTATAAGTCTATGCAAGATAATGACGTGTGGGAACTTGTCACATTACCTGAAGGAGCAAAAGCCATTGGTTGCGAATGGATTTTTAAGACCAAGAGGGATGCTAAGGGTAATGTAGACAAGTATAAAGCACATCTTGTAGCTAAAGGCTTTACTCAAAAGGAAGGCATCGATTACAAAGAGACTTTCTCTCCGGTTTCATCGAAAGACTCATTTAGAACAATAATGACATTGATAGCTCATTGCAATCTTGAGTTACATCAGATGGATATCAAAACGACGTTTCTCAATGGTGACATTGATGAGACGATATATATGGTGCAACCAGAAAACTATGTGATCAGAGATGCAAAGAAGATGGTTTGCAAATTAAAAAAAAAAATCCATCTATGGGCTTAATTAAGCAAGCTTCTCATCAATGGTATCACAAATTTCGTCAAATAATTACCTCATTTGGTTTTGAGGTAAATGTGGTTGATGAATGCGTGTACCATAAGTTTAGTGGAAGTAAATATATGGGTAAAACCCCTAAAAAACCTCTAACTTGCAAAAATATATACAAATAAACCTTCGACTTGCAAACGTGTCATTTTTTCCCCAGATTTGCAACATGTATCTCAACAAAACCTCCAACTTGCAATTTGATAGTCAATTAAACCTTTGACCGGTTTGACTAAATTTTCAGGCAATTGGAAATCCACGTTTGCCCGGAATGCTGATGCCATCACGTCCATGTCATATTTTTTAAATTTATTTTTGCCACATCAGCATTTTTGGTTTCGAAATTTAAACCGATTTGAGAAAAAAAACTTGGTTTTCAATTTAGTAAACCGAATCGAAAACCCTAAAAATTGAAAAAGGAATAATCGAAACCCTAATTTCATCCTCTCTAAAGAAATCTGAAAATTTCTCCAATCCACTTAACAACGGAGTTTCGATTTGAATCCGAGTACCCATTTCCAGGCTTCGCCGCCTCTGCCATCGGCGACGAGCAAGCACGGGAATCTCTGTCAGTATCAACCTCCGGTTTACAACATCAACAAGAACGATTTCAGATATGTGATCTAGAGACTCACCGGATCGTCAGCGCACGAACAGGTCTCTGCTCTGACGCTTCAGCAGCCACCGATGATTCACCAGTCCAAGCCCCAGAGCTCGTGCCTTTAGAGGATCCGACCTCAGCCACTGGCGAACATTAGCAATTGCCATCCTCCCTTGCTAAACGACGCCCTCTTCAATCCTGTTTCAAACCCCAAGATTCTGATGACCTTTGCGGTGGCGAGATTCATTCGATTATTCCTTTTTCAAATTTTAGGTTTTCGATTCAGTTTACTAAATTGAAAACCAAGTTTTTTTTTCTTAAATCAGTTTAAATTTTGAAACCAAAAATGCTGACGTGGCGAAAATAAATTTAAAAAATATGACATGGACGTGATGACATCAGCATTCCGGGCAAACGTGATTTCCAGTTGCCTGAAAATTTAGTCAAATCGGTCAAAGGTTTAATTGATTATCAAATTGCAAGTTGGAGGTTTTGTTGAGATATATGTTGCAAGTCTGGGGATAAAATGACACGTTTGCAAGTCGAAGGTTTATTTGTATACATTTTTGCAAGTTGGAGGTTTTTTAAGAGTTTTACCCTAAATGTATCTTCCTAGTTTTATATGTCGATGACATATTACTTGCCACGAACGATATAGGCTTATTGCACGAAACCAAGAACTTTCTAATGAAGAAATTCGAAGTGAAAGATCTTGGTGATGCCTCTTTTGTATTAGGGATCCAAATATACCGAGATAGATCTCGTGGTATTCTTGGATTATCACAAAAGAGCTATATCGAAAGTGTTCTTTCAAGGTTTTGCATGAAAGATTGCAAAGGAGGAAACACCCCTATTGCCAAAGGAGATAAATTCAGTCTCACTCAATGCCCAAAGAATGAATTTGAACAAAAACAAATGCAAGAGATCCCTTATGTGTCAGCTGTAGGGAGTCTCATGTATGCTCAGGTGTGTACGCGTCCGGATATAGCGTATGCAGTCGGGATGTTGGGAAGATACTTAAGTAACCCGGTATGGATCATTGGAAAGCAGTTAAACGGGTTTTAAGATATCTACAGCGAACCAAACATCTCATGCTTACATATCATAAATCAAATCAGTTGGAGATCGTTGGATACTCTGATTCTGACTTTGCTAGATGCCAAGATAGTCGTCGATCCACGACTGGATATGTTTTTCTATAAGCTGGTGGAGTTATTTCGTGGAAAAGTGTGAAGCAAACACTCACGGCAACTTCAATTATATAAGCAGAATTTATATCGTGCTATGAGGTATCTAACCATGGAGTATGGTTATGGAATCTTATCACATGACTACGTATTTTATGCAGTGTAGAAAGACCATTACGTATATTATGTGATAATAAATCAACAGTAATGTACTCCAATAATAATAGGAGATCTTCAAAGTCAAAGCATATTGACATAAAGTTCCTAGTTGTTAAAGAAAGAATACAGAGTGGTCAATTAAGTTTAGAACACATTGGGACAACTTCCATGATTGCGGATCCATTTACTAAAGCTCTACCACCCGCGATCTTTCATGGGCATGTTGCTCATATGGGTGTTATATCATTTGATGATATGTAACTTCAGTGGGAGCTAGTGTTTTGTTTATGGTATTGAACAAATTTCTGCAGAATAAGGTTTATTGTGTTTTTCACTCTGTATAATAAATACAACATGATCTCCATAAGGTTAAGGAGGACCAGTTGGAAATGGACATGTATAGATCACATAACATGTAATTTCCATGTTGTACACCTACATTTTGATCTATGTCGTTGAATTTTGGTGACATATGTGATCATAGAAAGTTCAACCTCGAATAATGTGGTGAAAGCCGCTATGGTTCTATATTAACATATTCATGGACAAGATTGTTGAAATGGTTTATAAAATAGCAAAATTATGAGCTCGAAGGATAATGCATATCATTTAGGAATTATGAGTGTTGCTCCAAGTGGGAGATTGTTGGGATTATTTCAATAATCATATAGACCAACACTCTAATCAATTAAGATATGTATTATGTGTTATTTTACTTAGGTCATATTTATGATCTAATTAAGAAATAAAGGACCTAAATATCATTTCGGTAAAATGTAGGATTAATGTGCATATACCATTGTGTTATTTCAATTTCTTTTATGGGCGTAATTGGAAATAATTAGAAGTTAATTTTCTATAAATTAAGGGTTATGGTCCCTAGGACACAAACAGTTTTTTCAGAATTCTTACAGCCCCATATTGTGAGAATTATTTTTTGTTCGTGTGTTGATCTAGAAGATCACAATTCCCGATCGTTGTTCAGACACCACGGATTCCATTACGAAAATAGACTCAGGTATGATTGAATACTATTTCATTCTTACGATTCTACATGTTAGATTCAGGGTTTATTTCCGCATATCTAAAAATATGGTATTGTTAAATCGATCAAGAAATAACACAAAGTGCCGAGTAATCTTTGTGAGGGTAGAAGGACTCATATCATGGTGACTGTCGGGAGAGAAGCAACTGAGAGTGAAACGCTAATAACCGATCTTCTTAAAGTTGGCGCTTCCATTATCCGTATAAACCGTGCACATGGAGATCCGAGTATTTGGGGAGAGATCATCAGAAGAGTAAGAAGAAACTGATAACTTTTATAAACCAAACACTCACACAACAAACACACTTTTACTCTCGTAAGAGGATTACAGAAAAAAAAGACTATTCTGCAATAATCTATACAGCACCATGACACTTGCTTTTAAAGACACAATAATAACTTACAGCAGTTACCAAACAACCCACAAAAGTTTATCAACAAAAACTGTAATAAAACCACCGCAAACTGTTCATTCAACTTTCCACGTCATTTTTCTTCTGCACTAAGTGGGCTTAATCCATAGTTCCAACACTCCCCCTTGGATCAAGATCCACACATCACAAAAACAATCTTCATTTTCCCGAGTGCAAAACTGCCCCATCTCGGTTTCTCCAATATGTCTCTCGAGTGCAACACTGCCCCTTCTCGAGTTCGCAACTTCCAGGTTTACCTTATTGAGGCATAAACCCGACAAAACTTACAATCATCTTCAACTCCATCAGAATCGTCGTCTTCGTTGTCACGACTCTCCTCCAGTTAATCTTCGTTCAAATTCTGGTTCGAGTTTCTTCTTCTTTAGATTGCTCTTCCTCGGAAGCTTCATCTTCTTTTTTCCTTGCAATATTCTGCGATTTCCGGAATCACCGAAGTCGCAGTTTCTTCATCGTCTTACTGAACCATACAAGATCGTATCTTGTTAGTTTCACAAACTCCACCGTAATGCATCATTCTTGACGTTGCTCTTCGATGTTTCTCTTAGAAAGTGGCCCTTCTTCGCACTCTCTACTCTAAACAAACAAGAAAACAATCTCTTCTTTTTCTTACAAACCCAAAAACAAAAACCCAAATCAAATCGTTTTTTTCTACCCATACTCCCACAAATCCCAAAAAGATCATATACGCTCTGATACCATGATAACTTTTATAAACTAAACACTCACACAACAAACACACTTTTACTCTCGTAAGAGGATTACAGAAAAAAAAGACTATTCTGCAATAATCTATACAGCACCATGACACTTGCTTTTAAAGACACAATAATAACTTACAACAGTTACCAAACAACCCACAAAAGTTTATCAACAAAAACTATAATAAAACCACCGCAAACTGTTCATTCAACTTTCCACGCCATTTTTCTTCTGCACTAAGTGGGCTTGATCCATAGTTCCAACAGAAACTCACAGATGGTAGATATTCCATGTCGGGTTCTTATGGATTTAGCAGGACCAATTTCAGAACTGGTACACTAAAACCTGGTCCCTGTGCAATGAAAGTTTCTCCCAAGAAAGATTCTTATGGAAATGTTGTCTTCCCCGCTCAGTTATGGCTCTCCCTTGGGGGAACATGTCCTCCTGCTCACCTCTACCCTAATGCTACCATATATGTGCAAGACAAGGATTTTCTTGCGGGTCTCGGGCTTGGTGATTCAATAAGATTATGTGATGCAAGGGGGAAAGAGAGGATGCTTAGGATTTCAAAAGAGTTTCATGTGTTCTCTGATTCTGGGTTTATAGCTGAATGTTGGGATACTGTATATTTTGAGTGTGGGACTAAGTTATATGTCAAGGGAAAGAAAGGAAAGTGCTCGGTTGGACGAGTAATGGATGTTCCTCCTAGACAAGCGTTTGTGAGAGTCAAAGTTGGAGATCTGCTAGTCATATCACGAGACGAATTGATTGATGAACCTTATGTTCCCAATAATCGAGCTCATAGGATAACTTGTTCGTCAAACTATTTATTCGATTCGGTCAAACTGGGTGAATCTATTGCTTTTGATGATGGAAAGATCTGGGGGGTGATCAATGGAATAGGTCCTTCAGATAGTTGTTTCCATCACTCGAGCTGGTCCAAGAGATACCAAAATCGGATCAGAGAAGTCCATAAACATCCCACAGATGACATACGTTTCGAAGGACTCACATTGAAAGATATCAAAGATCTTGACTTTGTGGTTTCACATGCTGATATGGTTGGCCTTTCTTTTGTCCGCAATGCCCACGACATTACTGTTCTTAAGCATGAGCTCGAGAAAAGGGGAATACCAGACCTGGTTATTGTTCTGAAGATTGAAACGGAAAGCGGGTTCAAGGATTTGCCTCTGATTCTATTAGAAGCAATGAAGTGTCCAAATCCCTTGGGAGTTATGATAGCCCGAGGAGATCTTGCAGTGGAATGTGATTGGGAGAGATTAGCTGATATATAGGAAGAGATCATGTCTATAAGTACAGTAGCCCCGGTACCCGTTATTTAGGCAACTGAGGTTCTGGAATCACTTGTCAAATCCAGAGTTCCAACCCGAGCTAGATCACGGACGTTGCCTATGCCAAAAGGTCGGTCTTTTGCAACTTTCTTCGTGTTTTCAAGTAGGAGCATAAGCTTTCTAGTCAGCATTTGATTTTTGGATTTACAGTTTTAATATTTAGAGAAAATATGTTCAAATGGTCATAAGGGAAGGTGTGCACTTCGTAGGAACTGACAATTCTGGTTATATGTCAATTAAATCTACAGGACTGATTGTGTGATGTTGAACAAAGGGAAGCATATCGTTGAAGCCATTGCCATTTTGGAATTGATCCTTCATTCCAAGCTTACAGACAACAGACCCGAGCTGTGACCGATATTGGTGACCTTTCTTTAATATATCTCATGCTTCAATGCTCTGGAAACTCTTGTCTAGTTCTAGGTTGTCAAATGGATCTGGGTGTTTTCAGTTCCATGCCTAATGCGTTGGCTTTTCACTCAGACTTCTGGCATTGCCTCATTTCAAAACTTGTTATCTCCGGTCCGTAATATCAATTCCATGCTCTCTGTACCGTATGGTTCTACATCCAAGAATCGTCTCTATCGATTATATACCCGGCAACTTTCATGTGTTTTAACACTTCTCTACAGTAAACTGAAAAACCGAACTTGTCTAGATCTGACAACAAAGTATAAAAGATTTTAACTAGATAGAAGATGGCACCAAATCTATTGTCATATCTCTTATATGTAGATCTGGACATCCTTCTATAATGATTCAGCAGTACATAGACTGTTTTTTCAAGATCCGAAGCCAAATGGAAATACAGATAAAAAAACCATTAAATTCCCTTGATTAATTCAAGACTTATTCTCATACATACTGACATATGCGGTTTTTATAAGTAACTATGAGATGAGATTGCAGTGATACGAGATGCAAGGTGACGATAAGATCAGACGAGGACACTGGGATTGGGAGTAGCGACAGCAAGTAATTCAGGGTCGTGCTCGAACACAAGCATGTCCTGTTCAGGCAGTGTCACCCACGCTTCGATTCCTTGACCGTCTTTCGTGTCAGTAATGCAGGTGAAACCCATCTCGAATACTATATGCCTTCCTGTAGCGAACCACACTGGTCGTCCCCATCCAAAGTCGGCCTCATAGAAAGGGAAACCACACCAACTAGTTATAGGATGTGACCTCGTGTCGAGTGTTATATCGGACAATAATTTTGCACGCAATTCTTTCACCTTTTCGTGAAGCTCGGGACTACTCCTATCCAATTGAAGAATTTCTCTAATCTTCTCACTCACCTCCTCTTTCTTTTTCCTTAACTTGGCCACCACTTCAGTGATGTCCATCTCACTTTCCGGTCCTTCCACCACAGCCAACGGCAGTACAAGGTTCCCGAACATATTTTCTGAAATATACGTTGCAGAAGACTTGCGTCGTATGTCCATCGCTTGCCGCATAAAGGATGGCCTACGCGGGATTGAGTTTGAACGCATAGCCTTTGTCGCACATTTCCAGATAAATGTTGTGACAACTTCTACACGCGTTGGGTTCTGCACAGTCTCGCTTGCAGCTCTGCGTTTGAGTTCTTTGATCTTAAAGGCATCGAAAAAAAACCTCTGCCAGGAAATGCACACTCTTTTGGAATCCGAATCTTCTTTTTTTGGAGGCCGAAATATCATGGAGAGGTCAGCAGGTGGGAAGATAGTCGTCTCTGCAAATTCAGGAGGATTCAATGAATCACCATACCCTCTTGCAGTAGTGGCCCACATGTTTACGAACCATGAAAGAGAAGACGCATCAAACACTTTATGAGAAATGCTGACCGCGATCGCCAAGCCTCCGGATCTAAAGTAAATCACCGTGACATTCAACAATGGCGATGTCTCCAGGGGTTTAGAAATGTCAGATGGGACAACTTGTTCAAAAGATTCACGAACTGGGTTCCTAAGAAATTCCGACAGGAGGGAATCGGTCCGCGCCTCCATAAATACGGCTCCTTCATCGTTGCAATTGATGGAGACGCCTTCAACTCGTCCGGCCAGAGGGTAGAAACGAGTAAGAATCTCGGAAAGAGATTTCTTAAGCCTCAAGGAAACTATCTCTTTGGAGATGATATGATCCTCTGTATCGTAGAAGAAGATTCCGATTACATATATTGGTGGACTACAAAAGTCGGAAAGAGAAAGTTGAAGGGTTCGAAGATGATTGGGCATTGGCGAGGCGGGCTTGATCAGTTCTTTCCCGATAATCTCTAGTTTCATCGCCATTTTCGTTGGGACAAAAGCCTTGAGGAGTGTTCAACAAGAAAGAGAAAATGGAAGGATCATGAAACGATAACTTTAACTGGAAATCTGTCAACTGTGTTTTGTCTGAATTGAAAATGCATGAATGAGAGCGAAGGCCTAACTCCATTCCATTGCATATTTAAAGGCTTCATTAGGTTAATAACAAAGAACTGTCACTCTTCCTCAACGAATTCCTAACAGTAATAAAACTCTCTATTAGTTAGTGTTCATACTTTCATTAAATAGCCAATTAAAATTTAATATTTTGAAGTTAAGTCGATTTAATCACACTGAAGTTTATCTCCATCACATTTTTTTGAAGAGAATTGTGAAATTGTTATAGTATTGTGTTTTGATATCGTTATTTTTTTATATCGTGGACAATCTCTACTACTACCATTCGAACGCGTTGATCGGATAAACACCATCGACATGTATAAACCCACGATACACACGTCGGAGATAAATCTACATATATGAACCCACGATACACACGTGGAAGATAAATCAGTCGTAACTGAAACAACAGGTTTCACGGTCTAAACCCTTATTTTATCTCAAACATGATCGAATACATTCACACGATATTCTAATATCATCTTTTCCAAACATACGATCGATTAAAAGAATAATGGATTAGCATAACAAAATAAACCGTAAGGTAGATGGTTTCAAAAGTTGGCCAAAACATATCTTGATGATGGAATATTGAATTTGATGATACGTTGTTATGATAAGAAAAAAAAACGTTTCTTGCAAAACTTTCAACGTATATTAATACCAATGCCCTTTCCAATTTAAGAACATGGATTGAAATTTCGGGAACCATTTTATAGGGCAGAAGGTCGTCCTTTTTTATTTGCAATTACTGATACCAACTACTTTTACATTTTGTGTACCAATTATATTTCGGTTTAGTTTTTTTTTTCAGTTCCAAAAATTTATTTAAAAAATATATCTTCCCATTTCCTCGTTTGTCGATTATTTTAAAATTTTAAGATTTGATTAATTTGATTTAGAAAAAGAATATCCAATAAATTTTTAGATTGAATCTAGTTTGTATATATTTATTTGTTAATTAATTTAATGTTATATATATGGACCGAAATGTACATCACTTGGAGTAACAAATAGCATTTATTATATTAAATAATACAAACGCAATTGAGGAAAACTTTGGAGATATCGTACAGTAAATATAAAAAATATTTTACTAACACTGAGACAATGGATTTTGAGATAACAGTCTGAAACATCTAAAAATAGAGTTTATAACTCTAATTTTTATTAGTAAAATCAGAATTATATTACGGAATACGTACATCACATATTACATGCTAGTTTGTATAAATTTAATTATATGACGTGTTCGGTCTAATTAAAATAATATCACATGATACATATCAAATTTCATAAATATCTTCTAACTTCACATGATCATTGAAACAATTCACAGGGATTTCTTACATAAAAATTTCTAGATGCAATTCAATCATAAATATCAATTTAAATAGGTTTTTATTCTTCTTTAAAAATAGAAACAGAGTTACAAGGCACATAAACGGAAAACAGGTGAAAATAAGTACACCATATAAGACCAATTCTAAAAGAGGAAATAGAAAAAAGTTCCTATAAATGCATGGAAAAATAAAAAGTATAAGTAACATTTAAAAAAAAAAAGGAAGATTAAAGTATGGAACCAAAGATCATTTGTAACACAAACTCATCCACGTTGATCTACCATTGGAAGTTGCAACGGTCCAAAAATGTGACAACAATCCTTCTTGCAGTATATACCTAACTACAAGAAAAGCTGCGTAATGCGACGGAATTGGAAAATTGCGACGAGAAACAACGACATAATTTTCGTCACTACTATGCTGTCGCATAAGGATGGCGGTCGAGAATCCGTCGTAAATTAGCGACGGTTACTCGGTGTCGTAATCCGTCGCAAAGTTATGACGGGAGAAAATATGTGGTGAGTCCGTTGCAGCAAGATAGATACTATCTAGTCGCACTAGTGCGACGGATATATGGTGCCGTAATCCGTCGCAACATTACGATAAAAAACAATCGCCGAAATATTATGACATAATCCGTCGCAACATTACGACGGATATACGTGTTAGGTACCTAACGTTAGGATGCACCGATTTTATCGTAGTCCGTCGTACAACGACGGATACCATTACTGCTGTTTGTCGCACATACTGTGCGACGGAACGTTCGTCGTAACACGTTTGTCGCGTTCTGTAGTATTCTGTCGCAATATTTTTACGACGAAAATGTTCGTAACCCGTAGGAAACTAGCGCCGTTTGTGACAGATTGGAAAAATGCTAATCCATCGTTTTTTGGTCGCATTCCATCGCAATTTATGATGCGACAGATATATCCATAGTGAATTCTGTCGTTTTTCTTGTAGTGTTGACTTCACGGGGTTGTTGTAATTTTAGAATATATATATATAAAAGTATGTTTTTCAAAAGTAATTTATGTTATCTAATTAAATTACTTGACAATCAATAATAATAACGACGACAATACCACAATTTTGTTAAAATAGAAAATGAATATGTGATGAGAATGAAATAAGATTTTGAGATATGATAGGGAATAATAACAGATACAATATTATTATGTCAAATATTGTGTATCTGATTTCTTTTCTGTTGTATCTATAATTCTATATTTCCTTATTACTTTGTTTCTTATTTTCATTATAATATAATAAGAAGAAACATATATGTAGCAATAAAAATAATTCCGTTCTTTTCACTTTCGTTCTTTCTTATTTATTTATTTCTTCTACATTTTATTTTTCAATAAATTTGACATATTTTAAAAGACTTTCATGAACATTATAACTATATTAGTTCAAAATAAAATCAAATCTTTTCAAGAAATCTAGCGATCTTCTTTCGATCGGAGACCTAGCAGCATTCTGTCTCTGTGTATGGTCCACAACTCCTAGCATGCTTTAGATAGAACTGACTAATACTTTGGATACATGGTCCAAGATTTCCAAATACTTCTTCTCCATCCGGGCTTGAGTCCTCACTTGGAAAGGGATATAGACTTTCTTGATCTTTTAAAAGATGTAGTCGAATCAAAAATCGATGAAGATTATAAAATATATATATATATATATATATATATAAATTAGCATTTACCAAGGAAAGAAGTAAAAGTTTAGTGTCATAATCAATGTGCGGTACAGAACAGTATCATCATTGTGTTATTTGGTTGCTCAACCACTCTTGCATTTCTGCGAATTGGAACTATTCTTCGGAATAGCTTGACATTTCAGGAAATTTATATTAAAGACAATTAAATATTACGTTTACTTTAATTGGGATATATTAGATTTTTTTGTAGTGATAGTGGGTAGCTTTTACAATTATTAGACAAATATAGTAATAGAAGATTTTGGTATTTGGTAAGGGTCAGCGTCAATAGTAGTTTTTTAATCATGAGTTCATTAAATTTTCGATCTAACTAATCTCTTATGTCCGGATTCAATATTTAGCCACGCAATTAAGTGCGTCTCTCCTTCCCGTCTTGTGGAATTGAACAAGAGACCTCGCCGATAAGTGACACCTCAACCAAACAATACTAAAAGGTGATGAGAATATCTCGAGCACACAAGTACGGCCAGGACAACAGAGTTAGAGGAACTTTAAGTCCAAGAACCGCTCACACGATCGAGAGCAAAATAAACTCGAAACAACGTTCATGTGAATGATTCAAAAGGAGTTCAAGGTTGGACGAGTGAAGGACGAGCACGAGAGCAAAGTCGAGACCTTAACGTGCATTTTACAAGTGAAATACGAAGATCTCAGAGAACTAAATCGGACCGTTCCGCTTTTGGCCTTAGACCGATTCGGTTTCAACAATTTTTACTCCGAGAAGTAAATCGCACCGATTCAGATTTATGAGTTTCGTGTTCTATTTTCCAAAACTGCATCGTTTTGTCTAATACTTGGGGGTTCGAACCTTTTCAAAACTCTATGGCTGTCAGTTGTAACTTTAATTCAAACTTTTATCAATCTGAATTAATGTAGAAATGTTTATGTATAATCTCAGACTATTTAGTTTGCAGAATATAATTAAACATTCGTATAATTTATAACTAATGTAGCCACGGTGAAACGAATTTATTCTCATAATACGACAATACATTCAAGTATGATTTTTGTTTTATTTGAATCGCTTCTTACGAATTTAGCATGATAGATTCATATTTATCATTACTGTTGAATTTGATTTTAACATCAAATACATAACATTTTAATGATGTAGTTTCTTGGTTTTGGAACTTATCCAAATCAATGAATTTACGGTGGGATTTTGATATATTTGATCTAAAACCAACCAACGTTGAGATTGAAGTCTGTAACTGTACAATCAGATGTATTCGCTGCTACATATCGATCCCCAAGAGATAACAAACGCTGTCCGAATCACCTTAAGTCATCTTTCTTATCAAACTTGGTGATAGACAGAACATATCTATAAGGTTACTATTGTAATTTCAATTATTAAGTTTACGTAAAACTAAAGACTCCTACTACGGTAAACGTAATTATTGTAATTACAACAGTACCGTTACAATAATATATATCATCGTGATTCTCGTGGGCACGGTGGGTTCTATAAATGGTGAACGTTGGTTCGCAATTCAGAGCGGGAAATTATTCATTGCAAAAAGGCTTAAAACATGGAGAAGTTTACTAATCCAGCCACGTTGGAGAGTGCTGATGTCTTGAGGCCATTAGCCGATTTTCCAGTCAATATATGGGAAGATCCCTTGGCTTCTTTCGCCATTTCCGAAACGGTATATATACATACATATGCATAGACTCTCTTTATATTGTCATTCGACCATGTAAACATACAACTCAAACGTCTTGTTCTTCCATCTATTTATCTTACTCTCTAATCTAAATCAAGAAACACGAACCGTCTTGTTCTTGCAATGATCTTTAATAGTATATGTCAAATAAGCGGTGGGTTCGTGCTTATTTTACTGTCTCTGTTGTCGTTTGTAGGAAAGTCACACGTACGATGAGAGACTGAAGGCGCTAAAGGAGGAGGTGAAGGAGTCATTCGTAGCATCGAAAGCGAACATGATTGAAAACATCAAACTGATTGACGCTTTGAGTCGCCTCGGTATCTCCTACCACTTTGAACAAGACATACAAGAACAGTTAGAGAAAGTTTTCCTCAGCGACCATCTCAATGAGATGACGAGAACCGGCAAATTCGACTTATCTACGGCCGGGGTGTTGTTTCAAGTTTTCAGACAGTTTGGCTATAAAGTCTCCACACGTAAGATTGATCCTTTTTAAACTCATTTTCATATGGTAGAGTAATGAAGCAAAACCTTCGAACCTTAATGGTTCTTAAGAGTTATATATATACACACACACACATATAATTTGGAGTCCATTCATGGTTAGATATCTTTTTCCACCATTTACAGTTACTTTGTCAATTTTGCTTTATGTGTGAAGAGGTGTTTGACAAGTTCAAGAACGAAGACGGGAAGTTCGATGAACGCCTAGGCGAGGACGCAAGAGGCATGCTAAGCTTGTACGAAGCTTCCCAATGGAGCACCCGTGGTGAAGATATTTTAGACGAAGCTCTCTCTTTCTCGACGACGCGTTTGGAAACGCTATCTCGCCAGTGTGCCCCTCATCTCGCAGTACGGATCGAGAACGCGCTTAAGCATTCCTTCCACAAGGGTATCACGAGGTTAGAGACCAGACGGTACATCACTTACTACGAAGAGGAACCATCTCATGATAAGGTGTTGCTAGAATTCGCAAAGGTTGATTTCAACTCCGTACAGCTGCTACACCGCCAGGAGATTGGCCATGTTTACAGGTACAATTCCGAATCTATCAACTTTTAGTATTTTGTATGAATACCGTAAGACTGAATTAGCGGATAATTCTTTGAATCTATAACATGTATGTTTTTTTACAAAGCGCATTCCAAATAAAGAATAAATACAAAATATGACAGAATATACCCTAGTTCATATCAGCGGCGGAACCACGTTAAATGGGGGTGGAATGACGTCAGACCCCTTCAATTAAGAAAAAAAATATTATTTTTTATAAATTTTATAAAAATAATAATGACATTTGTAAATACCCCCACAAAGATAAAAGTTGTCTATAAATCTTATTATAAAATTATTCTTCGCTCTTACAAATTTTTTAGATCTCTTGCATGTCATTGATGACTCTTATAAATTTTTCTAGATCTGCTGGTCCATATTTTCCTTTTAGTTGGTAGAAAACTTCTAAGCTAATACGTAGAGAATATTTCTCTGTGTAGAGAATATTTCTATGTTATGTGACGTGTAGATTAGGAACCACTACCTTATATAACGGTTTAACTTTCCAAATTTTAAATTACTGTATTGAATCAGGAAATATGATAAACAGCATTTTTTTTCTTCTTTTGAAAGAACGTTAGACTCTTTCATGCTGCCGGCTTTAACAACGACTGCGATTCTTTGTATGTTTCAGATGGTACAAAGAGCTACAGCTTGATGTTAAATTACCATACGCAAGAGATAGGGTGATCGAAAGCTACTTGTGGGCACTTGGAGCGTACTTCGAGCCGCAATATTCACGAGGGAGAATCATAGTAGCCATCACTATAATTTTGTTAACACTCCTTGATGACACATATGACGCTTATGGCACGCCGGGCGAACTTGATCAGTTTACAGATGCCTTGGAGAGGTACTTCATATATATATATATATATATATATATGTATATGGCATTCTTGATATTCAATTAGTGCCCTTTACATTGTAGGTGGGATCGAACCGCGGCCGAGGGGCTCCCAGATAGCATGAAGTATTTGCATCATGTTATATTAGATTTTTATGACAAAATTGAGGAAGAGATGGATAAAGAAACAAGGCTCGGATGCGGGTTTCATGCAAAGAAATCAGTAAGAGAAAATTATGGATACAAGTCGTTTTTTTGGCTGATATAATTACAGTTTCCGCTAATTGCGTGTTTATTCTTAGTTCATACTGACCGCCAAAGGTTACCATAAAGAGGCAAAGTGGTTGCGGGAAGATTATGTGGCGACGTTTAAAGAGTACAAAGAGAACGGCATTTTTCTGTGCGCTTATTACGCGGCAATAACATCATCCTTTGTCGGGACGGGAGACGTCGCCAAACTTGACGCCTTTGAATGGTTAAGTTCATACCCTAAGGTTTTCGTAGCTTCTCTGATAATCAGTCGATTCATGGATGACATTTCGACTTACGAGGTATGAACACAATTCATATACGACGTTCTGTGTCATTTCTCTTTTCTTTTTCTATATACAAACATAACTTATACACCGTTGGTATGTGAGGTTATGCGACAGAGAGCTAATGAATGATTGCAGTTTGAACATAAGAGGAAACATGTTGGCACGGCGATTGATTGTTACATGAAGGAATATGGGGTTGCCAAGGGGAAAGCCATCGAAGAGATCCAAAACATAATCATGGATTCATGGAAGGAACTGAACCAAGAACTGATGAGGCCACACCTATTTCCTTTCCCTCTTCTAATGCGAATTCTAAACCTCACGAGGGTTATTGACGTATTCTACAAGTACCAGGATTTGTTCACCAACCCGGAGCTCCTGAGAGATGATGTGGTTTCTTTGTTCATCGAGGAGATACCCATATAAGCCGTCTGCAATGATTTTTACAAGCTCCGATCACTTGGACAATGTTCCAAGATTCTGAAGCATGTAATGTTTTGTGTGCCTGTAATATATTTTGTGTGTGTGTGTTTTCTGTCATATTCTAGAACACTGTCTCATGAATTTGGTCGTTTCTATATACATTGCATCGTATTTTAAAGTAGGGATGCAAAATGAGTCCGAGTTCAGGAGATGGCTCGAATTCAGCTCGTATTTAGGCGAACCGAGTTAAGCTTTCTTGTTTATCAAAAGTGTTTGTGGGTTTGCTCGTGACGAGCCACGAGCCACGAACTCTTGTTGTCTCGTTAGTTGCCCCTTTTTTTTGTATTCAGATTCGTTCGCCTTCGGCCCAATTATATCCACCCTGACTCAGAAATGTAACCTTTCTACAATTAAATTTCATCATTCCTGTTGAAACTTGTCATAACCTGATAACGGAACTGAGAGACTAAGGCATGGGAGAGCTTCGGGTTGAGACTGAAGGTTACTAAGGGCAGAAATGTCATTGATCAATTAACAGACTCAAGGACAGAGCGTTAATTTGTTTGGGCAGCTGATTTGCGTGTATAACAGATTACGATCGTCTTCTTCCTCAGTCAATTTTCAGATTCTTCTTCAATTCTTTGCATTCGCCATTGTAGCTCATTGGAGCTTGTAATCTCTCTCTCCAAAATAATGGAAGACATATTTTCTGAAAATCCTCCCTAAAACAGGGAAGAAAATCCTCCTTATGCATAGATTTGTGTAAATAATGGAAATAAATCTCCTGAAATCATGCATATACACTTGTATATAAACTCTTGCTTTGCTTCCTAAGATGTAATTGTAGTGGTTTGAGCCGAAGATCTCTCGATTACACTCGAATCTCACCGGAAAAACGAAGAACGAGCAAGAAATGTAAAAGACACAGGATATAACGAGTTCGGTTACCGAGCTTTGCTCGGGCCTACGTCTCGGGAAGAGGAGGGCCGGATTTATATTAGTACTGTTCGGAGAGAAGAACCTTCCGACGAAAGTCGCCGGAAAACGCAGACCCAAAGAGAGATTCTCTCTCTTGGCCGCGAGGAAGAAGAACTTAGAAGAATACAAAATCCAGGAAAAAGAAAACACTGATGCCTTTATTATTTTGGCTACACATTTACTAAAATGCCCCTTTGTTAAGTGACTTTGGAAACTTCTGTTTCTCCCAGCATCTTCGAAAGCCTCCGCTTCTTTCAGCAGGTTTGGCTGAAGACCATTCTCCACAAATCTCCACCTTTTCACAAACCCTGTTAAAAGAAAAAAAAACAAAACCTCCGGCAATGGCTAACAACCGAAACCTCCCTTTACTTCGATTACCTAGACTACCCTTCTACCGATTCCCAAGTTCGAGATATGTCGGACTTGCAACCTCGATAGAAACCTAGCAAGTGCATTTTCAACACTTCTACTAAACCCAAGACAAACCCCGACAAACGTGTCACCTAACATCTCCATGTCTCGTCACATCACGATAAAACCTGCGCTTTCCTAACAACCTCTTAACCGAGAAACCTCTATCAAGTTTCTGATCAAACCCACGTATTCGGGCACGGTTGTACAAAAAAAACTCATGTGTGTCGTAAACCAGGCCTTTAGCTTATGACACCTAACACCATGAAATCTGAAACAAACCGACGTTACCCAACACGTATCGAGATCTACTTGTACTAAGACTAATCCCAGAATTTCTAACCCGTATGACTATCTCGAGAACGTCTATCCGACTCTCAACCCGTAGAATCTCTCCTACCTTGACTTGCATGCATACCAAGAATCATTTACGACGTCTCTACCCGTCTCATGAATCAAGTGTCCTCAATTCGTCCGAGACATTCCGCCATACCTTAAGAAAATCCTGACCTCTCGTAAAACCATACGAGATATTGACTCGCTAATACATAGCCATTTTTCCCAATGAGAACAACTAACCTCTGATCACTATCCGGAAACCTAGTCGTATTCCGACTACAGACCTCTTCACCTTAGATCAACTAATCTCTGATCAACTAACAACCAGACCTTTGCTCATGTTTTTCCTAGAGCTCTTCTGATTTCCGTGAAGACTTTCTCAATTCTTACTAATTGTTGTACTCTCCCGAGACCTTAGAGCCGTGAGGTTTCGTGCTCCACCTTTGTCAGAAAAGTTCCTAACGCTAGCAACCTCCACCGATCTTTATCAGTGACCTAACTTTTCCTGACACTGTCTCTACTGAGTACATCACATGTCCAATAAATAGACTTCACCTCGATGTCTTCTCGAGGTCCCTCAGATTTGTAACGGCAGACTTGAGTTTTCACCATCAGGTTTTTTTTTTTTTTTTTTTTTTTTTTAAACCCGCGAAGCAGGTTACTTTCCACAGAAAGAAGAATCTTCAGTACTATGAGATCTCTGCCAAGAGCAACTACAACTTTGAGAAGCCATTCTTGTACCTTGCCAGGAAACTCGCCGGGTAAGAATTGACCCACCCATAATAATCACTTCTGATTCTGGAGAATGGTATTTGTCGGATTTGTAACATTAAAATCCACCGTTTCAGGGACCCTAACCTTCACTTTGTGGAATCACCTGCCCTTGCTCCCCCAGAAGTCACCATTGACTTGGCTGCTCAACAACAGTAAGTTTTCACTTTTTTATTAGAGATTATATATCCCCGCGTTAATTTCTAGCGAGAATTCATAAATGGTAGTCCACCAAGTACAACTAGGGGTAGTCAGTTTGAGAAAAACTATAACCATTCGGGCTGAACCTAATCCGTGATCTACCTGTTTAGACCTAGAGCATGTAATATCCCAAGATACTCTCACCTGAGCTATCTTCCCAAGAACAACTCTAACCTCTAGAGCCTACTGATCACTAAATAGTATATATCTTCTAGAAACACCCAATACCCACTAACCAACCTCTAGTCATCCCTATCCTCGTGACTCGTACGGTCACCCCTGGGATCCTAAGGTTCAGAGAGAAAATATGTTTCCCTCTCGTTCATGTAAGAACCTTACTCCTTTGAGTAGCGTACCCTTACTGAACACCCGTGAATTTCCCATCAGATTGTTTCTAACCAAACACCACTACCCACGACGAGATTTTCTATCCTAATCCCATCGCTCGTGGTCCCGTCTAATCTACGGACTAGTCTATATAGTGGCGGATTTAGAAAAAAATATAAACTGGGGCATTGATTTTATATATATCATTTTATGGAATCAAATGCTATTTTTGTGGGGGCATAGGATAATTTTTTTCATAATTTTACAAAAATTACCTAAAAATTACTTATTTTTTTGAATTAGAGTGGGGGCCTGTGCCCCCACACCTCCTAACCTAGATCCGCCCCTGAGTCTATATCTTGGGGACATGTGTCCTACACATCCCGAGTTTTTGACTCAACTTGCCCTATATCCCAACTATGGTCCGTGATTGACGATACCTCAGAGAATACTATCCTGAGTATCTCTAAGCCCGTCGAGTCACTTCTCATGACCGACCCTATGATGTTCTCCTCTTCCTCTCCTCCTAGACTGATACTACATTTAGTAGTATCCCTCTAGCCGTAACCTAGCCTCAGCCAAAACCTTTAGACCTTGACCTCATTGCACATATCTTATCCCCGGGTTTCACCTAGATTCCGACATACTCAAACTGTCGTTCCCTCCTTCTGTCCACTCCACCCAGATCTAGGAGCTCCTAAACCCGGACCCTAGCGGTGGCCTTGACTTCTTTAGTTGAGAAAGTCACTCTAGCTTGCTTTAGGATCTTCTCAACTACTTATAGGCAGGAGCCACCCTTAAGCCCAAAACCCGTATCCTAAGATATAACAACCGGGAGTGACCACACTCTATGTCTCACTTTCTAGCCTATTCGAGATCCACCTTGGCTTGTCGTTCTACAAAGACTTTCCATTTGGAATCGACCCGCTAGACCTGATACAACAAGTTCCTTAGCCCTAGAACCCTGTATGTCTGATTTGGAGACAAAGTACTTAAGTCTTTCTCAACCAGTCCCTGAGACTAGGTAGAATGACTCCACCTAACTCTTGACATCTCCGATATCTCCACCGCGACTCGATCCGTTACGATTATCCAAGATTGAGTTCTAGGACAACCTTTCTTTTCGTCCTCCCATTACACCTGGTCACTTTCTAAAGATAAGCTAAACCAAATTATGCTAACCTGATAATTTACCTTCTCTTTTGCAAAGAGAAGTCCTCCACTCCCATCGAACTTATCGACCTTGAGACGTAACTTAAACCTGTCATTTCTTACCTAAATTGTTCTTACCGAAATTCTCCACCCGAAAGTCTCTACTCGAAAGTTTCTAACAAGAAAGTTTCTAATCAAAACTCTCTACCCGAAACTTTCTACCCGAGAATCTAAATTCTCTACTCGAAACTTTCATCCCCGAGAAGCTTCTACCAGACAATTTCGGAAGAAAATGACAACTCAAAACTTGACCCTGAAACTTATCCTAAAGTATTCCCAAAAAATACCATTCCGATTAATTCCTTGACAAGTTTCCTCGAAACTAATCCCTAAACTATTACGAAACATTATTCTGAAACACTTCTTACCCGACAAGTTTCCCCAACTAATTGACCTAAACAGACCGTGGAAAAACATGACCACCAGATCAATGATCCACTTTGGTCAAAGGTCAATAGTCAACCTGGTCAATGATCAACTCTGGTCAACCTTGGTTAACGGTTAAACTAGTCACAATTGCAAAACCGATTAAGCCGGTACAATTGACCCAAACCAAACCAAATTAACTGTACCGATCAATATTGACCTAAACCGGTCAAAATTGATCTAAATCAGACCAGACTGGTCAAAATTGACCAAACAGGACAAAATTGATCCAAAACCGACCAAACCGGTTCAAATTGACCAAAACCGGCCAAAAGTTGAATCGTACCAGAATAACACAGATTAAAATTGACCTAATATATCAAAATTAATCTAAACCGGTCAAGTCTGATTTAAGCCGATTGAACCGATTTAAACCGAATATCGTGTCAGGAAGATCGCCTGATTTTCTCTCCTCTGCTTGGCTCCATCTCAGTTTCGTGTCAGGCTCTCATCTCCGAGCCACAGCCATCAGCGAAGCCGATCTAGTCGTGG